GAAACTGAAGGGTATAGACATCTTATCAACATTTGATAATTCTACCGAGAGGTTGAAATTTCTACAAAGTTTGAAGCTTTCTAACCTGTGAAGGAAGAACTTGAAACCCATTGACAAATCTTAAGCAAATCTTTAGATTCTGCACCATCATTATCTTGCTTTATTTTTTTAGACGTTGCCTTGCCTTTTTATGTATTTTTGATACATCTAATTTACCAATAACTTCAAGAACCTCTACCAAAATAACAATCTTGACTTCATTGTTCACAAGAAATCCACCATCTTTGTCATGGAATTTGGCAAGGGTAAGTAGTGGTAGTCCGGGACCCTGGAGGTAACTTTTCTGATCAAACCAACTCACTTTTTCTGTACAATTACAAAAGCATAATTCACCACTGCTCATGTGGATTGAAAAATATATTAGATTTGTCCCACTTGGGAGATTTCTAGATTAATCTATTAGTATGTGGCGATCCTCCTCCTTTGATATTTCTAATACAATCTAAACCACCCAACACAAAAACTCTCTTGAGCAACATACAACTCTAGTCCAATAAAGAGTTGGACAATCTTTCGTCCGAATTACAAATAATCACCTTTTCGTTTGGAATGTTTTTCTGAATTTTGATTAACCAGGGTAAAGTAAAATCGTACGTGTCTTCTCCATCCATATGGCAATGAGTTATGATCAGTCACTGAGAGAAACCGATAGAAATAAATAGAGTTGTCGCCAACTCCCTTGGGATAGGTACTAAGGCGCTTGCGAGCCGAAAACGAAAGAGACGATCCCGTCAAAACCTAAATTGACCTCAAACCATTAGAAAAAAAAAGTTTTATGTTCTTACCATTTGCAGCCACCGACCACGAAATTATCGGAACTAATATACTACTTCGGTGCCAAAGAAGAGAAATTTTTAAACCCAAGTAAACTTGTTATCAGCTTCATTCCCCATTGTAGTAGTCTCCTCAAGAGAGAACAAACAGATTCCTGAACCCTAGAATTTAAACACCCAAATTTGGGTATGTTTGTTGCTGAGTCATCACTTCTTGACATCATCCCAATTTGCCATTTCTGCCCAAAGTCTACTTCGTTACTCGTATAGTAATTTATAAAAAAACAATAACAATTCAAGATTTTTTTTTTTAAATCATGATTTAGCTCGGATGTTATTTTAAATATAAATATAGACAACGTTATAAAATAAAATTGAATATGCAATGTACAACAAATAAGCTTTTTAAATTGAAAAATGAAAATAAAAAACATCATAAAAAAGGGTTTGTTAGAACATGTAATAACTTCTTCAAACGGATGAAGTAAGTGTTATTATAAATCTCCTTTTGTGATTGACATCCTCTAATTCCGAATAAGAAACTCCTTATCGGATAAAAAACTTTTGGCATTAAAGTAACAAATCTGATCCTTTTCTTTTGTTTTTTCTTGGTTGTAAACAATTTGGTCTTTTTATGAGTAAACTTATTGAGAAGAACGTTCGGAATAGGATAAACTCGATTGTATGGGAGATCACAGTTACGTCGAGGCTATGGAGTTATGGATCTCAACTCGCTAAAAGACCAACAAGAGGCATCACAACTCTCTGATTTTAAAGTTTCATTGTCTGATTTTTTTTTTAGGTTCGTAAGCTATTAGCAATTTCGAAACATTCATTGTACATAAGATTTTGATTTGAATTATATATAAAAAAAATTTGGTTTTTTATTCAATCATTTTTTTCTTGTTTTGCTAAGTCTATTTTAGCTTTTGACATTGCATTAGTAAAGATGTGTTTCTTTTTTTTTTTGGTTTCAAGGTTTTGGTCTTATTCAATAGTTCTTGAAATTTATATAACGCCAAATTAAGCTAGAGAGTCCTTCTCCACTCGACAAAAATTACTACATTAAAAATGTTGAAACTTCCAATATATCTCTAGCTTCTAGACGTTAGTCATCAGAAAACATCATCAAACTTTCGAGGAGCTCTCGCGGCCGACACTTTTGCCTTCAAGTCCTTCAACTGTTGCTCCATTTCTCGCATTCTAGCCTCACAAGCTTCCTCTTTCTCCTTCTTTTCTGGCACTTCATTCAGTTTATTCTCCAACTAATCCAACTTAAATCCAACATCTTTCAATGATCTTAGCGAGTCATACGCATCAGCCAGATCATCTTTTGAGATTTCCAGAGGTGACCGGCACAATGTCTCGATCAGGCTGAGTAAGACATTCATGTATGCCGTCTTTAGAAGTGGGTTCTTTAGACGGAATTCGAATGCAACGTCTGGGTGTTTTTCAAAAATACGCCTCACAAAATCCACCTGCAAGTGTGAAAAAGGGGATAGATAAAGTTGAACCCATATAGACACATATGGTAAAAACTTGAAACTTCTACAAAGTTTGCATATTTCTTAAGTTTCTTAGTTGTGAAGGAAGAACATGAAACCCATTGACATCTATGCTTTGATTTACTGGTGAAGTTTCCTCTAGCTTTATCTTTTTCAGAGGTTGGGTTGCCGCTTCAGTTTCCTTTGGTACATCTAGTTTGCCAATAACTTCAAGAACCTTTACTTCCGCAACAATCTTGAGTTCATCGTTCACAAGAAATCCACCATTTTCCACATGAAGTTTGGTAAGGGGAATCGCATGGAAACCCAGAGAGGCGTTCTTCTGATCAAACCACAACCGGATCAGTTCTCCTGTAAAATCACGAAACAGAGAACTGTTCTAAGACAAAACAGGCATTGAACAACACGTAAGTAGCAGCATAAGTCCCATGACAGGGAGGATCATAAAACATGAATTTTTCCTTTGTCCTTTAGAGAAATAATATTAAAAAAAAGTAGCGAGCAACACTTAAGCCTTTTGTGGATGTCGTTTTGTCTCTTGGGCCAAACGAATGGGCCTACGAAATTCAGTTGGGCCGGAAACAAAGTTTTAGGCCAAAGCCCATTTCTCTTTTGGTCAAACCTGCAGAAATAAAAGTCTTCATCTTCTTCTTCATAACAGACGGGAAAAGTTACAG